TCCCTCTCCAAACTGCCAGTGTGCCACGCAAGAGCTGCTCATGCCCCTTATGGAACCTGTGTCACAGGTTGGCCACCTGTATCCAAGGCCATGCCCCTGGCCATGGAAAAGCAAGGAGAAAAGGTGAAGTTGTTACAGTAATGTTGTCCATTTACACAGAGGAATGGAAACTTTAATCCTGTTTTGTGACCCTCACCACACAAAGCTGCCACAGCAGGCCTGAGATTCTGGCCTAAATTCTCCATTTGAACATGTGAAATGATGTAGCCTTTCTAAAGGCATTTCAGCAACACAACAGTAAAATATATGACTGCACTTGTCCCCATTTGCTGTGCTCTTTGTCATACATTCTTCTTGCCAAAGTTACTCAACAGCTTTCTGACGATGGGCTCAGAAGAGAAATGTGTGATCTAAAGCAAACCGAAAGGGGTCCTGTTCTTGTCAGAGAATGATCAAATTTCCTGTCAGTCACAGCACAACAGACTGTCTTCCAGTCTGCCAGCTCTGATGTACCCATCTACTTCCAAGCAAATGTCTTCAAGAAATAAACAGTGCTATACATGAAAGGATTTGAGTTGTAGCACCAATTTCAAGTTAGCTTATTCACAAGGTACTTAGGCCTGGATTTGCTGGATGAGAGCACAGTACACTACAAATTATTGGCCACACACACAAAATACTTAACATCCACAACGTTTCTACAACTAGAGAAATAAATTTGCTCAGAATGACTTTTTCCCCTGCCTAAACTCACATAATAAACTGGGCATAATTTCATCAAATTTAAAGCATTCCAAGTTCCTCAACAAATCTCTTTGCAAATTCAGGATGGATCACATAAGATATTACCTATGCATTTCTGATTTTAAGTATTTGAGATTTGATTAATCCTGTAAGCACGTGGTATTGGTTTTGCTTCCCTGAACAAAAGTTTTGTAAGAGCTTGAAGCAAGCTGTGAAAAAAATCTGTGGCAGACCATGAGGGACAGATACATTTAGGAATACTACATCTTTCCCTCTTGGGGTAACACAGACTGTGCCCAATTTGTTAATCTGAGAACTGAGTTTAATACTTAATTTACTAATTACTTACACACCAACTAACATTGTGCATATATACAATCCTATCCATTTGTCTGGCTTAATTGTTTCCACACCAAAATTCCAGTGAGTATTTGGGAGTCCTGTCTCTGCTGTATCAAGCAGCATCACATTTCAGAACGTCATGCCATTTGTGTAATGCCAGCGCAAATATTTAAGTGTATGAGCATAAATTCAATCTCTGCTTACAATTTTGGGAGTACAACTTTCTCTAATATATACAGGCACAGCTGGAGCAAATGCATTTTTAAGTTTGAGTGAAATCCTGAAGGGTATTTTAGCTGTTTTGTTATATTTTTCCAGTATCCATCTCAGGTCTCAACTAACTACACTTGCATTTCTATTTTATATGCAATAGCTAGAGTTCTGATTGGTGACACAGAAAATACCTATAATAAAAGCTATGGATATTATGCTATGTTAGGAAAATACTGACCCACAGATCTAAGATTACCAAATTGTTTCCATCTATTAGCTCATGCAGGAGGTTCCAGTTGAGTGAAAAATCCACAGACTGGCTGGAGATGCTTACAGCACCACAAACACCAGGCACCACCCCCCCGGCCAACAGAAAGGGCTCCACTCACTGGAATGCATTTGATTAGTTTGCTAGAAAGTAGAGAAAGTAGCAGTGTAGTTTGCAAGTCTCACTAGAAATTAATCAGTTGAAATCATAAATCAAAAGGAACCCTACTATAAGAAAGCCTATACTTTAAAGTGTCCATTAATCAGAACCGCTGAAATCCATAATAAGGGACAATATGTCAGTAATGTTCCTTGTCTTAGAGAACAAGTATACAGTTAACACCTTCTCTCAATCCATGTGCAGAGGACATTAGAATGGCCATTTTTATGCAGGACAGAGCTAGGATCTCATCCTCAACCTTCTCTAATCATGTTGTGTACAAATGTATGTGACTAAATAGAGAGTTAAAGTGTAACAGTCACGCTCATCAAATCCCTCTAAGAACATTACGAGAATATTAGTGGATCTGGACTGTATAGCTGACTACAGATCATAATGTGGCTGGTCTTGGCCTTTACACAAACAAATATTTACAGAGAGCATCAAACAAACAAATTATGCCAGTATTATGATTAAGACTTAACAGGCTTCAAAGCAAACAAACAAACAAAAAAAAAAAAAACTGTGCTTTTAAGGGAACATTCTGATTTGCCTGGTGCTATAAAAACATTAGAATTCTCTAAGCCAAGTTGTTCATCAGGCAGCATATAAACATACTGTCAGTACCACCAGAATGAAAGTATCCTGTTTAATGAAGATACAGTAGCAAATAGCACCTGACGTTAGTAAATATTGAACCAGTAAAACTCTTCATGTGATTTATATGAAGATTTGGATTGAAACTGAAGGATGACCATCATCCAACATTTCAGACAGCTGCAAGAAGGCATTATAAGCTCCTTCATGGAACCAGAAAGCTGAAATAATAAGCAATCTTCACCCCAACAACAGACAAACTTCACTGTCCAAAACACACACACATGTAACTCACATGATAGCACAGTAGTTTTGCTCGCTATTTTTTGTAAAGGTTTGTGTTTTTATGAGAGGGGGAAAATGGTTAAGGTTAGGGAAGGCAGGGCAAGGTGAACCATTAGGAAAAGCACTGAGAGTAGAACCCTAATGTGGCCCTGAGAAAGCTTAAGAAGCAAGGAGAGAGAGAGTTTGCACATCCTTTTGAGCTAAGTTCAGACAGGAGATGAGGCTTAGAATTCAGAGCAAAGACAGTGTCCTCTAGTTGTTTGGTTTCTGCTGCATTCACAAAACAGGACTTTGTGCATTCTTCATAAACGAAAGAATATTACATCACAGATAATTGTATCCACCCTCAATTCATCCTCCTAACTGAATAACCTTGTGATCCCACAATTTTTGTATAACTACTGAGGCCACAAGAAGTATATTTAATGGTGCCAACTGTGGCAGGACAGTAGGGTGCGCTACTACACCAAGCCACCTGCCTCACTGTGCCCAACCAAAATCATGCTTCAGGTGTCTCCCCTGGGGTGCCTACATCCAGCCAAAACCATTCCTGGAGCATATCCACAAGCCTGGGGAACTTGTTGCCACCACCCGGGCTCTGGTCTCTGTTAGGTCTCTGTGCAGCCCAGGGTACACAAACCCTGCAGACGTTGGGGTGGCTATGCCCACTGGTAGAGCAGAATCAGTTAATAATCAGCTGAGCTCTGCTAGGAGCGAAAAGGCCTATCCCTCCTCTTAAGCATTCACAGCTAAGCATGCTGTAACTGATAGCTTTTATTAATAAGAGATGGGGAGAACGGGGAAGGAGTAAAAGACAGAAGAGTATTATAAAAAAAAAAAAAAAAATGTCTTGAGCAAAACAGAATGGGCTTGTTGGCCCTTTTAACATGCAGCTAAAGATACATAACCCTAATTTACTGGCTAATTTTCAGATAGGCTACTTACATATACATCCAGAAGATTATGGAGGCCCATGCTTCTGTGTATGTTTCCAAAATGCTTGCTGGAGGAAGCCCCCCCAGATCAGGTGACCTGATCCTTACATAACTTTTCTGACCTCATCACCTGGCTCCAACCAGGAACAAGCATTATTTGAACCCTGTTGATGCAGACCAATCCTTTTAAAAATTGGTCAGCAGCCTTGGTGGAGAGACCGGTCACCAAACTGATTTCACAGGTTTCTTGGCAGGAGGCTTAAGACAAAGGGTCTGTACCCAAAAAGGAGGATTGGGAAGTGCTCCTATACAGCACAAACAAGATACACAGCAAAATAAATCCTGAAACACTTGACCACACACAACCAAGTGTGAGTGGTACATTCTCCCCCCAGCCCAACATGTCCCAATCCATGGACAGACAGTGGGAGATTTCTTCACGTCAACGAAGTAGCAAATCCTGTTTTTCCTTGATCATGTGTAAACTTATATATATGCTTACCTTCCTATTATGGATATAGATTTCGTAGATGTTGAATTCATAGAATTCATATATGTGGAATACAGAAAGAACTTGTTTCAGCTTCAGACAGCCTTATCTGGTCAATCCAACATCAGTATTCCCATAAAATGGGCTCAACTATCTGGTTATTCAGGGGCAAGGACCAGCAGATACACGAGTAGGTCAACTATTTTTGTCCCAGCCTGCCTCTGATGCTACATTTAAAAAAAACAAACAAACAAACAAAAAAAACCCCACACAGTAAATGGCAAGGCAGAGTGCAAGGAATAAGTTCAAAAAGTAAAGTGTTCCTAAAATCCAGTAGGTATCTGTAACAGCAGGTTTCACTTAAAGTGGATATCACTTTACTGGTTTTAACAAACTTCAAAGTAAATGTCCTAATGCTACTCATTTTGTATGTCTGTTTTACATCAGTCACAATTCCATATCACGGTTTCACTTCTGCCTGATACATATCATAAATTTTTGTAACTGGAAAGCACACTTAGTATATGGATTAAATTAAGAATGGTTTTAAAAAGCAGCATGATAGCAGACATTTATGTTATTAACTCTTTTTTCTTCCACATATCTGATGATATGTTGGTAGGACATGTTAAAATAAAGTACGATAATCCACATCACATATATCAGCAAGAGATATATATAGTTAATTGTAGTGGATGCTGAAATCAGTTTTATAGTTGCAGCTATATAGTTAACTGAAATCCAGTAGAATTTTTCATATAGTAAAGATGTTCTAGTGAACAATAAATATTTTAATTTAACAGAAGACGGCTAATTTTAATAAAATTACACCAGTGCTGAAAATGAAATCTTGTATTTGCAGAGAAAGGTAGATTCCAAGGAATGTAAATTTTTAATACTTAAAAGTTAAAAATTACAACAACAAACCCAACACTAAAACCTTATTAACTATTTGCCTACCATTGGAGTATGTTGGATGATTTTAAAAAGTGACCTACCTTTTAGCTTTCCTAGATGAAGAAAATGTGCCTGGGTTGTAGTCACATATTTTTCTCAAGTAGGAAAGAAGTGAGAACAACATATTTTTCTAAGAGGTCTAAAGGAGTTTGGCCTCTTAACTCCAAATTAATTTCCAGGGAAGCTGAGCAGCTAATTGCCTGAGGGTATGGACAAATGTACATTTGGAGACATTTAAAAAGGGGGACATTTCAAAAGGGTGGCAGCTGTTATGTTCTAATTGTTATGTGTAGAAAAGCCAGGAACAATACAAATGTAGCAAAACTGCTCCAGCTTTAACCCTGGTTGAAGCAGGTCCAAATGCACGTGTGTCCATCCTCTGAGTCTCCTTCAGAAACTGCAGCCCAATGAAAATGATGAAGACCTTCCACCAACTTGTGTCTATCCTGGGAAAGTGCCCCTTACTACAGATACAACATTAAATATTTGGTTCTCTACAAACCAGCAATATTATAATTGCTTTTAATGTTATTGCCTTAAGACTGACTTCATACTGCTGCTAGCCTTTCTGAATTAATGCACTGATTTTGGCACAAACAGTTTACTCTCAGAGAATGAAAACTTAGGGAAAACAAAGAAGTGGAATGAAATGTTCATCTTATAATAGGATGCAGGAAGACTGATACAAACAGTGCCAACTGAGATTTACAATGACACTGGAAGCTGTCTACAGTGCCAATCAGAAAGGAGAGAGTTAGCACATCTGGGTAGTGAAGTGCCTTAATTCCAGGTACTCTGAAGAGAAGTGAATAAAATAGGGAGAGAGAGAGAGAACAGGCCACATATTTTGATACAAAATGTCATTTTGTTAGCTGCATTCCTCCAAGTGCCAACATCCTTCAGCAAAGATGTACCAAGATATGTGGGGCAGCACTGGAGATCTATTTTGCTCCATTTCCTTCCCGTCAATTCAGCTTGAAAAGGATATCCATTTCTGTCATTCAAAAATGTCCTGTCCCATTAGGCAACTAAGCTCAGAATCCTTCCTAGAGGGTAAGAAAATGTCACATTGATCAGGGGAGCTGAAGGCTTTTCAAAGTGGAGACCCGATTTTATCCCAAAGTACCAGGCACCAACTTGGGAGGGAGGGAGTTGGGGGAAGGGGAAAGATAGCTTCTTCTGCAGCCACACAATTGCACTAATGGTACAGCAACAAGTGGAAAATACCACTGCCCCTGTGTGTGGCAGCTGCCCCGGGTGCCCAGCCACACCATTATGCCTCTGCCCAAGTCCTCCTGCTAATCTTCCAAGTTTTACTATTGCTTTCTCCTACTTTTAGGCATGTTTTCCTTTCCTTTCTTGTTGTGTGAAAGATAAATTCCACCTGAAACAATTAATTAAGGTTCCATAAAGCACGAGAGTTTCTTAAACTGCAGGAAAAGCAATGCCATTGTTAAATGCGATCCAGTCTAACAAGTAAATGAATTTAAAAAGCCCAAAATTATTTGTTTTCTTTCAGTATTCCTCCATCAAAATAGTGTTCACATGTCATTATTACAACTACAGGCAAGCTGTTACAGTGGTATGTTTTGCAGGCAGGTTTTGAAAGCAATCAGTTTTTGTCATTATTAGATTTTAATCAGTTTTAAGAAGTTCAAATGTTGTGTATTATCATTAGAACGCAGGAGAATCTCTCAAATCCATTGTGTCTAGAATCAACTGGCGAAAGAGAAAAAAACATGTAGAGAGTCTTCTTTTATCAAAAACTCATCTTAACTGGATGACCCCAAAAAGGTTAGATGGTATACGTGGCACTTGAATATAATATACATTTCCTGGCTCAGTTACTCAGTTTCTGGTGTCCATATGTTGTTTGGAGGCTTAATATATATACATATCGTCTTTTTAACATGTACATTAATATACAATCTGCTTTGTAGGTAATTTGTAACATATATGTTACATCAATAATAATTAACATGGACTAACAAAATAAATGTGTAATAATAATCTGATTAATCTATAAAAATATTATTTTTTACATCAGACAAAGCAGGCACATACCCAAAAGATTAAGAGAAATAAATCTTATTTCTAATATCGTTCATGGCTAATAGAACAGAATATTATTTATGTGCCAACATGAGACTTTGGATAACTCTCGTCTGAAAACCTATATTTCCTATCTTCAAAAGAAAATGCAAATAATCATTGAATGACAGAAATTTAGTGTAAACCCTAAATAAATTGGAAAGGAAAAAATGTCTTTTATGAGTATGAAAAAGAAAGAAAGGGAAAAAATACCTTGGGTGATCAGTGGAGAATTGAAATAATCCCTAACTGCATACTGACACAGACAGGATAGTCCTCAGCTACCAGTAGCATGGGAAGTAGAGCTTATGACCTCTGGTTCCACACACAAGATCTTTGGAACTGAAAAAGTAGCTAGGTCTAAATCAATCAGAAAAAAACGAAATATACATTGGAATACATATGTATAGTATATGTACATGGTAAAGGTCCAAAACACATTGTGTCACATCTTTCTATTAGGAAGCAACGCATGTACATTTATCACAGAGTATGGGAGTTTGTTTTCAGACCTGGGCCTCCCTCCAGCAGTAAGCATACAAATTTGCCAAGACTTGCTTAGGCATGTTTCACTGTCCTTGAATCTATGAAGACAGGAGTTAAAGCAAACACCCGTGCAAACCTCCCATGGGGGCTGTGCATGAGAAAGTATTTGTGGCAGACATTAGGCTACCCCCTGAATATTCAGATATTAATTCACCAAGGGCACGGGCACACCAAAGGGCTGAAAGAAGGCCCTGTGGCATGCTGAACTCAAAAAGGAGATGAGGCACTTCTAAGAGAGAAAGAAAAAAATTATGCTGTTTAGGTCATAAAGAGAGATGTATAGTAGTGACAGTGGATGCATAGGTGTGTATGGCTAAAGAAATGGCAAAATGGAAAATAGTCTGCATAGTGTCCCCCTTACTCTGTCATTTTTTTTAATAAAGTGATATATATATTACAACCAGCTCTTAAAAGGTATTAACTGTACCTTTCTATTTCTATTTATATGGAATAAAACTATTTTGTTTATAGTTTTTTTTCCCCCCTGGTCTATATACAATTAAATCCATTCCATGAAATAACATGGACAAATTATATGGTACATATGGCTTTGTTATCTATGTGACATAACAGTGGTTTATCTAGGTTCTTACAAGAGCACTGATCACTATAGCACCTGAGCATCTCCTCTAATACATGGTCACTAAACCAATATACACATCTAATTTTGCTCAATATTTCCCTCTAAAGGCTGTCTAGGGATTTTTTTGTTTATTTATTTTTTCTCTCTCTCTTGTCCAAGTCTTTCTGTTTCTATACTTTTCTTCCTTGTTTTTACGTCTTTATCTACTTTTCTTTCTCCTGTCTTCTATTTTAAATTGCTGTGAGGGGAAAGATAGGCTAATTGAATTAATGTTAATGCATTGTTCTGAAGACATTAAAAATGACTGTAAATCTTAATCTCCTCAATTAAGCCATTCTAAAACTTCAGCCTTGATGCCAAGGATGCCCCTCTTCCACTTTTCACAATTTCCAGTTACTGACTACCAATTACACAGTTCCTAAGGAATAGAGCCACTGAGGAACATTATCCGAGAACCTCTCTCTTTGGATGTTATCTTGAGCCAATCTCATTCAGTACTTCTGAAGACCAATATCTTGAATGCAACCTACTGTTTAAGAAGCAAATGCCACAGGCATAGATAGGGCAAGTGTGCTCTTGTTACTGGCGCTAATATGGCTGCTACATTTGGATTTTTAGTTGTGCTAGTATGTTCATACCTAAATAGGCTGATCTGTAGCAATTCAGCCTAGAAGTCATGGGTAAACAATGGCATCTTCACAAACTTCCATATTCTGGCTAATCACAGCTTAAAAGCATTTTTTGTAGTAGTTACAATCTAAGCACTCAGCAGCACCCAGGGAACCAGACATCTCAGGGAGATGCTCTCAGGAGAGTATGAAATGCTACAAGTTCTCTCCAGCCAGCTATGAGCCACTGTCTGGTATCATCACTCAGTGTGAGAATTCCATTAACCCCAACTGGGCATTTGTAAATATTGCAATTTTTGATTAAGTGCTGTGCTGTTTGCTGGATACTGCATTCACATGGGACTGTCCAAGATGTTCATAGTTGGTAGGATCAGGAGGGACCTGAGCAGATCATCAAGTCCGCCCCCTGCCATAGAAGGAAAGAGTACTGGGGTCAAATGACCTCAGCAAGGTGTTCATCTAGCCTCCTCTTAAAGACTCCCAGGGTAGGAGCCAGCACCACTTGTCTTGGAAGTTGGTTCCAGATCCTAGCTGCCCTGACAGTGAAGTTTGAATCTACCCCCTGCCAGCTTGTGGCTGTTATTTCTAGTCACTCCTGGTAGTGCTTAGGGGAACAGGGACTCCCCCAATGGCAGCTGGTCCCCTCTGACTAGTTTGTAAATGGCCACTAGATCCCCCCTCAGCCTTCTCTTGTGGAGGCTGAACAGGTTCAGGTCCCTTAGCCTCTCCTCGTAGGGCCTACCCTGCTGACCCCTGATCATGCGAGTGGCCCTCCTCTGGACCCTCTCCATGTTGTCCACATCCCTCCTGAAGTGCAGCGCGCCCAAAACTGGACGGAGTACTCCAACTGCAGCCTGACCAGTGTTGCATGGAGAGGGAGGATCACCTCCTTAGACCTGCTTGAGATGCATCTGTGGATGCATGACAAGGTACGGTTGGCCTTCCTGACCGCATCCTCACACTGTCGGCCCATGTTCATTTTGGCATCAATAATGACTCCAAGATCCTTTTCTGCCT